TACTGCTCGGCTCAGGAATTTCAGGCTTTGCAAGTCAACCTTAGAAAATTTTAAGTAAGATTTTTTTTAATTCCTATTTCAATAAATATAACTATAATAAAATAAACATTTATTAGTTTTCTAACGTTTTTTTACGGAAAGCATCTTCAAAGTTAAGGCTATAAGGCCTAAAATTAAGAAAATATTTCATTACTGAAAAATTTTCTTGTTAAATTTGAAAGATTATTGGGTAGTTAAAAATATACAAAAAAAAAACAAAGCACTTACTTAGAATTAGTCAAATAATTTATGTCACTTCTGTTCATCCATACTTACTTTTCAAAACATCAGGGAGTCAATAAATCATTCAGCATGTCAGAAAAACAATTCATCCATGCTAAGAAATGCTTTATTACTATAGTTTATGCTAGAAGTAAGTAATATTTTGTTCGAATCAGATTAAGTAAATATTAACTTTGCTAATTCTCCTTAAATAACATTTCAGAAAATTATATTTTATTTTAAAATATTTTTTAAAAAAGAAATCTATTTCGTGTTTATAGATGCGTAAATAATAATAATAATAATAATAAAACAAAAAACGAGGAGGCACGGTGGAGTAATGGATAGCGGCGATGATTGAGAAATCGACGAGCCAATTTCGAATTCCAATCAGATTACAGCAAATTACATTCACTTCGGAAAGGTACGAATCTTCTTTTTCTTCTAAGCTATATAGCTTTGGATGTCAGAAACAAATGGCAAACTATTGCGGCGAAAAAAATTTACCTCGTCAGTCAATGTATCGAAAGATACATGATTGACTAAGCATGTATCACGCATAGGAAATAACTGAAATAATAACGAATTTAACGATTTTACTGAAAGGAAAAAAAGATTCCAATCTAAATTCAATTTGAAATACACAAAATTATATTCATTACTGGGAAAATTAATCTATTAACTTGGAAATAAAGCTCCAGAAAGATTTTTCATTTTCCAAGATCCATTTTAAAATTAGGTATTTTTGTTGGAGGTGTCTAATTTAGCAGAGCTTTACATTGGAAACGTACAGATTAACCTTACATTCCTATTGTTTGGTTGGGGCAGCAGTAACACCGTAGAGTTTTCAAACACCCATCTCAAAATAATAGATATATCTTTTATTTTTTTTATATATCTTTCTATATATTGTTATATATTGTCTTGAATGTTCTTTCTGTTCTTTATATGATAAATAAAAATGAAAAAGAAAGATCGTAATTTTGAAACATCGAATTTTAACAAAGTAATTTGTAAAATTTAAACAAAATATTTTTGGTTTTTGAAAACAATTTATCATCAATCTGAATCCTCTTCAACATGTTTTTTACATTCCAAACAATGAACAAGCAAGTTATTGTCTTTGTATAGATTTCTAAGATAATTATGTAGCCAGTCTTTACGGCCATGCGTTTGTAATTGACACAATTATTATGACTAAAGCCAGAAACTCCTTGAAGTTTATTGACGCAAGAATTCAAAAAGCCACTTCAGTAATCAGAAAAATGTATCTTGCCACTTGCTAAGGAAAAAAACAAAAAAAAAAAACATTTGTGATATTTTCAAGTAAATTTCAGTAAAACATATTTCTCTCCAATAAAAAAAGACTTCGTTTCCATTCATTCAATCAAACTGAGAAAGTTCAGATTATCTAAATGAACATTTAGTTAATTGTCACTTTCAAAAGACTGAATCGGTAAACTTTATTCTTTAAATTTATTTACTACTTTACTCTTTCTTAAAAGAAAAAAAAAACATGACAGCATTACCTGGCTATATTTCTGAGATGAGGTATTATGTACACTATTTACATTATTCGGACTATTGTCCTCATCTTTGTCGCCATATTTATTTTTTGTGCAATGTTCTTTTCTTTTTCTTGTTGTTTATTGCAGACTTTGTCAATTCTGTTTTTGAGCCATTTTGTCATTATTTACATTTAACAATGGCCATTCACTCTACATTATTTGTTTAATCTCTAATCTTGACAAATATCAATATTGCGATCATCTAGTTTCAGAATCTGTCTATATTTCTGAGATGAGGTATTATGTACACTATTTACATTATTCGGACTATTGTCCTCATCTTTGTCGACATATCTATTACAACGTTTCGGCCTTTCAGTATCTGTCTATATTTTTGAGATGAGGTATTATGTACATTATTTACATTGTTTGGACTATTATCTTCATTTTTGTCGCCATATTTATTACAACGTTTCGGCTGTTGTACGCTCCGGCCGTCTTCAAGTGGTTGGAATGTCGAACTGAACCCTTTCAGTGGTCGGATAGGTGTAACGTAAGTCATCTGGATAGACAGGTAGTAGTGTGACCGCTGTAATGATTTTGGTTTCATCAGCAACACAGTTCCTTAAGGGGAATTGGAATTCGTAAATAATGTTTGTTCTTTCTAGTTTTGATTTTTCAAGTGTGTTTGAGGATAAGGTTAGCTGTTTTAAATTTATTTGTAGCAGATAATTTGATTTTTTGTTCGCGTCAATTGGGGTAGTGTATTTCTTTCTGATATTTCTAAGTGAATGAGACGTCAAAGTAAATAATAATGATACTGAACAGATAGACAAAAATAATATAAATATTTTCGACAAATGGCAAATGCACGTCAACTATGAACAATATGAATCTTCACTTAGAAATGATAGGTTAATGAACAAATAGAAAACGTTTATCAATCTAACCATTTTCTCTTTTATTAAACTTTCATCTGAGATTGAAATATGAAGAAAAAGAAGAAAGAAATTCTGGCATTTTTATTTTTGTATTGTTTGATATTCACTGGTTAATCATGTTTCACGTGTATTTGACTTGTTAAACAAATGTGGCACCATTTACCAAGGCAAAAAGAAAAGAAAGGAAAGAGAGGAAGGAAAGAAAGGAAAAGAGAGGCGAGACCCAAAGGTGGATGATAAGTAGGACACCCACGACTAAGAGACAATGGATAAAGGATATTTTGATAAGTAGCAAATGGCAAAAACTGTCATTACAATGGCAGAAAAATTCTAAGTGGATAAAGGAATCGTTGTGTTCTGGCGACGAGCTGTGTTATCGGGGATACATAAACAAACTGCTAATGCGAGAAAACATCTGATTAAGCAAGCAACAGACCGACTAGCCAAAGAAAAATCCAATTGAAAATGTTATTTTGATAATTGACAAAAAAAAAGGTGAACTACAGGGCTTTGGATAGCTATGAAAAATTAATTGTGTCAAAGCCGCACACGAGGTGGCGACTGACCGTTTTTCTTTTGACAAGACATCTTTAGCTGCGATAATAAAACTATGTTATCAGTAATGTTCACCAAAGAGTGACTGGAAACCTAGAAATGTTTCTTTTCGAGGCCACGGTCAGGCCGTGTTAAATAGACCACCCATTCTGATAATTTGCGATAATCTGACCGACGATGTCCAGATGAGACCGGGGTAAAATAATTTTCTTTTTAGCGAGATATATTTTTTTTTCCTGAAACAAAGGCCGCGGGATCGTACACGCCGGCTGGACATCATTGGCCGAGTGGTGATCACGTGACGCAAGGAGGGAGCTGTCACCGCCCATTTAGAGAATGGCTATGAGAGGTCGCTACGAGGAAGTGGGGAGGACAGCCGACACCCCCCTGAAGCATGGTGAGAAGGTGGGAGTAAGAGAAGGCTCCCAAAAATGGAAAGAAGTGGAAAATTCCTAACCAAAAATAAAAGAAGTGGATAGGTATTTAGAATTATCGAGGAACCCCCCGACGCCGTCAAACCCACTCCGGTTTTTGTCGGCGTCCATATAAGCGAAGTCGCTGCGAGCGAAAATCAGTTCCAGCAGAGAGTTCCAGCAGAGAGTTTCAGTTCCAGAGTTGAGTTCAGGAGAGACAGTTCCCAGAGTCAGTCTCCAGTGCTCAGTTGAAGCAAGCCTCGCATCGGCTGACCAAAATTCGCGCAATTTCCGGACTCATCTTCAATCCAAGAACAATTATTTTGAAGAGCGACTTAGATCCAGACCACCAAAAAAAGTTTTTTCGACTTTCGCCCGAAGACACACCGAAAAACCAATTTCTTAAAGAACAAACAACTTGAAGTGTTGAAACTCGCCTAACGGAAAACAACGTGTCACAATCCATAGAACGGGTCGGGGGATAGACGCAGTCCTATGTATCCAACAACTAGACATAAAGTTTGTTATCCTTTTTTTGATACATTGAACTTTTGAGTTATCATTTTCTTTTCTTTTATGCATATTTGTGCGGTGTCACCCCCGTTTGAACTCGATTTGCATTACGGCCCCAACTACTGATTGATTTCTTCTGCCTAAGATCAATTCACAACGTGGGTAGGCAGACTGGAGATCAATGCAGTCACTTTGGTAACCAGACGTTGGAAGCGAGTTGGGAACGACGAGGCTGATATCGAATCTAACCAGATTCCCATCCGAATCACCAAAAGGTTAGATCGTCACATTTGGGTGCCGCGACCGATACCAAGCCAGTTGGTCGTCACAGGACGAGACAACACGACTGACGTGACAGGCGGACGTCACGTTTGGAGCGGCGACACCCGAACGAAGCAGCGAGGAGCGAGCGAAGGCTGTGTTCAGGGACGTCACACAAATGTTAGTATAATTTATGTCGTATATAATTTATAAATACTAAACGCCATAAATTATACTAACGTTTGTTTTACAATTCGAACGCGTGTGAAACTTGATTAACTAATGAAAATCAAACAACACAAAAGTAAAAAATATTAGAATTTCTTTTTTTCCTCTATACCTTATTCTCTGATGAAGTTTTATTAAAAGGGAAACATGTTAGATTGATAAACCCTTATTATTTTTTATTATCTTATGTAAGAATGTGTGTGTTAATGAATTTATTTGTGGTAAGAAGAGAAGTGAAAAGCTAAAATTTAGACATTTCTGATGATGATAAAGAAATGAAGAAGAAAACTTTAAAGAATTTAAATTTACATTTGATTTTATTCCCGTATGATCACCGAAGTTAAGCAACGTCGAGCCTACTCAGCACCTAGATAGGTGACCGCTTAGGAATACGAGGTGCTGTAAGTTTGATGTGTGGTTGGTGTAATGGATAATGACTCGCAGTTATTAATCGGAGAGCGGAGATCCAATTCCCAATGGGCTCGTTATATTCATTTACGCCCCAAAACAACTTACTATCTAATATTTTCTGGTTTTAAATAACCTGCAAAGGGTTTATAAGACGTTGAAAGCGAATCAATATTACATACAAACTCACACACACACATACATACATATATATATATGAAACATGTTAGATTCATAAACTCTTCTTATTTGTTTTTTATCTTATCCTATAACAATGTATATTTAACAGTAATATATATATATATATATATATATATATATATATATATATATATATATATTACTGTGAAATATACATTCTGATATATGTATGATATGTATGATACATTCTTATATGATATATATATATATATATATATATATATATATATATATATATATATATAAGTGTAAGATTGGTGTAGACAGAATCAAATAGCAGTAACCAAAAACACTATTCTTAAAAAGAGTGCTCAATACAGAGGAGAGCAAATATTATTTATTCAAAAATTCAAAAATTCTAATGTTGTAACATCACTACATATATAGCCATTTTGTTTCAACACTTCTGATGTTTTCTCAAGTGAAGGTGATGAATGTAGAATAAAACTTAATAAGACACTAAAAGTGTTAAAACAAAATGTCTATTTTTGTAGTGGTGTTATAACATGTTTATGTTATAATTTTTGAATAAATAATATGTGTCTGTGTGTATGTATTTAAGCAGCAATCCTTTCATGCACATTTCATTTAATACGACCGACAAGGTGCTTTGATTTCGTTTTTTTGTACAATTTCTCATGCTTTTTTTTTTCTTTTCGGATGATAAATTATATAAAAACTGTCCAATTGTTCTTTTTATGAGAGCGCTTTTTTGCTATACATTTAGCCATTTTCAAGGTTGAAATATGTTAACTATTAACAAGAAATATTTTGTTCTATGTATGTATTTATATGATATTTTCCTTTTCAAAAATGTTTTTATTCATGAGGTTTTCATTATTTTTAGACTTTTTTTTGCATGATGCTATTATATTTGTGTTGTCAACAAGTATGTTCCGAATAGTGTCCGGTAGGTCTGCATGAATATTTAAATGAGATCTAATTGAGCTATGGTCAAAAAGGCGTAGAGTGAGTCTGCGTGTCAAACATGTTGTAGTGTGGCCTATATAATTATTTACGAATTTTGAGTGATCAGGAATATAATTCCTTAATGAACATTTAAATTCGTAAATAATATTTGTCCTATTTAATTTTGTTCTAAGAGGTGAATTATTATTTTTAAGTATAAGGTTAGAGGTTTTAAATTTCTTGTAATGAATAATGAATCTATTTTTTTTATATTGTCAACTGATGTTGTGCATTTTTTATAATATTCTTAATCCTAATTTCGTCTTGTGTGTAATTTTCGTTCATTTGATTTTTATAAAAATATTAATGTTATTGTTTATGCTTCTATTCTCGTCGTTGCTATTTGACAGAAAAAGCCTAGTATGGAAATCCAACAATTTATTAGAACAGCAGTTATTAATAATTTATTATATATCATATATAGCGATATATATATATATATATATATATATATATATATATATATATATATATGTATGTATGTATGTATGTATTATTCATACAACAAAAACAGACTATCATTATATGTATTATTTAAAATATTGAAATGTAATTGTCATCTTTGATAATGGCTTATGTAAGCCGAAAGCTTAGATAGGATTAAAAAACATGTATCAATATGATGATTTTCTTTCATCTTTCAATGATAATGTTATTAAGCTTATCAGATAATATGAATGGAATTTACTTAAAATAAATAGACAAAACTTGTCTATATCATTTAATGAAACATGCATGAATGAAAAAATGCTGCCTAAATACACTATATATATATATATATATATATATATATATATATATATATATATATATAAGATGACGTTTAAATCTTAAAGATTGCCACTCCCTCCCCACAAAAAGCGGGGGGTCACCTATTACAACAATTAGGAGAAGCTAACGTTAAATCTTTTGATGTATCTGCACTGATAAGTAGGCTAGTATGTTTGCGCCATGGATCGCGGTAGGCTAACAATCGCTTCGATATCGTAACTACCGTTGTAAATATTTCTTGTTAAAGCAATTCACATGGGAATGCTGTACTACAGTTATAAATGTAATAAAGCTATTTTTATTTCTTGATTTCACATTAAATTACAGTATTCAAGAGGCGATTACACAATAATTTGAAAAGTTTCATTGAGCAACACGCATAAGTATAAAGTAACGTGAACAAATCTTTCGTTGTTGATTTCTAGAGCTAACCATTATTTCTCATAGTAGCGTTAAATAACAACATTTAGGATAACATAAAATCTATATTTTTAATTAAAATTGATTGTCTTCGTAGTGTTAAATAACAACAATATTCCATATAACATGCAAACTTTATTTTATTTTCAATAACGCGATGTTAATCAACAAAACATTTAAGATATCAACAAACTTTATTTTCCATTAAAGAATGAAACACTCGTATCCATAATTAAAACCCTTTAAAATTAATATTAGGATCACAATCTGATGCAAAGAGATCATCATAAACATCGTCATTTACAGTGTCGTCATATTAGTCATAGTCGGTCGTCTTATACTATGGATATCAGATAAAATCACGAAAATTTACCTAGAATTTAGGTTTCGTCTCATCTATAGATCGCCTTATACGTGGGAACACATATATATTTTCAACAGCAAGAAAACGCCATATGACAACGCACTAAGAAAAAGTGGATACACACAACAGTTACAATACACACCTCTACAACAAAAACGCAAAAAGAGAAAAAGAAACATAATTTGGTTTAACCCTCCATACAATAAATCTGTCAAAGCAAATATTGGCAGGAAATTACTAAACCTAATAGAAAAGCACTTCCCTGCAAAAAAAAAAAAACCTTAGCAAAAATATTCAACAAAAACAACGTAAAAGTTAGATACAGCTGCACTAAAAATATATCTCAAATTATAAAAAGCCCCAACAAAAAAGTAACAGCCTACAATAACGCAATCAATGACCCCCAATGCAACCGCAGAAATAAAACCACATGCTCATTGCAAGGAAACTGCCAGAAAACGAACATAGTATATAAAGCCAAGGTAAACGCAAACAACACTACAATGTACTACATCGGAGTCAGAGAAGAACCATTCAAGTAAAGAAAATACAACCAGGACCTCTCATTCTCCAACAGAAAATATTCCAAAAGCACCACACTATCCACATACATATCGCAACTAAAAGTCAGAGACATCACACCAAAAATAAGAAAATCATGAAAAACACACTTGCCTACAATAACATAACAAAGAAATGCCTACTCTGTCTGCACGAAAAAGTAGCAATGATTTGCCAAACACAAGAAAAGAAATTACTAAACCTAAGATCTGAATTCCTTTCAAAATGCAGACACGAAAATAAATATCTATCAGAGTTCATACCAAACGGATAATACATTAAAAAAAATACCATACCAAGTAACACAAATCGATATTGTTACCAGCAAGTCTACATAAACTACCATAAAACATTTACACTTCAATATCATTTTATAACTACCACTACTTTAGTTACCAAGATTGTCGCCTCTACCGTATGGTACCTAACGTAAAAAAATAACTATTGCCATTATTATCACTTCATACCCCTCCCCACCACAAGATTAGTAACGCTTTTTACGGTTGTCTTAGTTTTAATATTGTCATTATTTATTTATAACCTCTATCATCACCATCACTATTGTAATTACTAAGTTATCACCATTTTTATTCATTATCTCTTCCACTAGTACCATCACTATTATTATTAGCACTTACATGGTTATTCATTATTTATTACTATCCACTACTGCTATTTTAACTTTTAATTTTTAATTTGTCATTATTTTTTATCATTAATTATTATCATTATTTATTTTTACTACTATTTCATTATTTTATTTTACTTCTGTTACTATCATCACTTCTACTATTATTAACATTACTATTTATTACTTTCACTGTTATTAACATTATACTTTACGTCCATCAATGTTTCCACATCATACCGTCCACAATTGTCATTGCCCTCATTATTGAAATCATTATTTCATTCTTACTATTTCACCATCATTTGTATGCTCGCTACATCCATTGCCATAATTACCATCGTCACATTCCTTTTACAATCATATTCCACTTCTCCATCAAAATTAGTGCCAATTTTCCGTAAACATATCATTAAGTAATATAAATTAGGAATTCGACTGTGTATATATATTATCGTCTATAATACACAACAAGCAACGTTAAAAATAAAAAATAAAAATATCATCTTTACAGCAATATTCCTATACAGAACCCATTTTGAGCAATGTCAGGCCGAAGCTGATAGAAATATATGTACACGTATACATGCGTGTATGTGTGTGGAAGTATCATTCCGTTAACGACATAAACGAACGATCTGAAAATGATAAAAACACTCCACAGTTGCGTATGTATACGTACTGGAACATATGGATACATGTCTGCACCTGGCCCTGTATCGTTCATATATGTATATGTTTGTGAGAACGACAATACGTACGCCTAAAACGGACAGAGAGGAAAAATCTTTCATCTTACTACCACCGAACATCACTAATCATAATTAAACAAAAACATAGATTCAAATTTAAAAAATAAATCAGTTTGTCACATCCATACAACTGAGTATATATATATATATATATATATATATATATATATATATATATATATATATGTGTGTGTGTGTGTGTGTGTAGTTTTACGTACAACAAAGGAAATCGGGACAAAGTACCAGAAATCAGATAATGAAATAAACAATAAAAATAATAATTATTTTATTATTATTATTATTATTATTATTATTATCTGTCTATATTTAT